TATTCTTTTTTATTTAAACTTTTAAATTTTTATAAAAGATCTTTATAAATTTAAATTTCTATAATAAAGTTATTCTCTATAGCATTTTTTAGTTTAATTAAATGTTTTAATCTTTACACAAATTTATAAATAAAAACTATTTTAAATAAGCTTATGTTAAAACAATTTAACTTATTATAAGTTAAATATAAATCTTATATAAAGTCCTTAGTATTATTATAATTAACTTTAGATATTTTATTTTAATTATTATAAACTTTACTAATATTAATTTATTAAACTTTTAGATATATTTCTTAATTTTATTAAAAACCTAAAAGACTAAACCTATAATAGAAAATCTATTATAAATTATCTCTTTTAAGAAGTTATATTAAATCTTCTTTATAAGAAGTTATTTAATAAGTATAAATCCTATAAATATAAGATTACTAAGAGAATTAAGATTTTTAATTATAGCTATTTTATTATTTTTAAAAACTATATCTTTATTATATCTATTTAAAACTTTATTATTTATAAAATAGAAAAATAATTTTATAACTTTAAAAATATTTTTAAAGTTTATTTTTTAAAATTAGAAGTTTATTTCTTTAGTTAATTTAAAAATAATATTATAAATTAAAGTTTCTTAATTTAGTTTCTTATTAGCTGTTTTTTATATAGCTATTTTAGCTATACAATTAGTAAATAAAACAAAAGAGGTTTTTCATAAAATAAACTTTTTAGTAAAACTAAAAAAAATTTAAAGTTAGATTATTAAATAAAGATATATTAATTTATTTAATTCATTTAAAGTTCAAAAGAAGTTTAAATAATTATTAAATAGTTATTAACTTTAATAGTTTAAAAACTAAAGAAATTTTATAAATAGAAGATATATATTATAATAGCTATTATCTCTATTAAGAAGTACTACTTCTAGTAGTTTAATAATTTATTAATTACTTTATAGTAATTACTAAACTATAAAGTTAGAATTTTAATAACTACTTAGGAATAACTTTACTATTTAGTAAATAGATTTAGGTATTTAGAAAACTTATAATTTATATAAAGTAGCTTAATTAATCTAGCTATAAGTACTAGGTGTAGCTAGCTACAAAGTAGTATAGCTAATCCTTTACGTAAAGGTAGGATTTAGGCTGGGGTTTAGGCCTCAGGCCTAGCCTAGCTAACTTCCGTCTCGCAAGAGGCAATCAAACGGCATACAGTAGTAATAAGCGGCTGCTGATGGCTTTGTGGCCCCGAGGATTTGGCGAGGTTCCCGCACGCGCATGCCGCTAATGAGGCGGCAAGCGGGATAATCAGGTGAGGGATCGAGGCTTGTCGTGTTTCGAATCGGCTGCGAGTCGAAGCTGGGCGAGGAGAGAGGTGGTCGTCGGCTCGACGGGCCGGATTGTTGATGTCCTCAGCAGGCTCTCTCAGCGGGGGGGAAGGGACTTCCCCTCAACTGACCTGAGGGAGAAGGGACCCCACGGCGGGGTAATTACCTACCTTGCCTACCTAGTGGACTGCCCCTGGCCTGGATATTCGTACTGCAGGCCCTTGTCAACTGTTGCTACCGCCAGCAAACTCCGCTGTGTCGTGGTGAGCCCGATAGGCACCCAGGTACGGGTACGGGTAAGTACCCGGAGTTTGCGCAGAGAGACACCGCCAACCCGGTCGCACATGGTCATCCGACGCAACCCGGAAACAATGGACGGAACAAGGCGGGCATGTTAAGGTTCTTTTTGTTGCGGAGGAATAAGGTACCCTTCCCAATGTCAGTCGCCTGTTGGCAAATAGAAGCAGGTGCCTGTAACACCAAGACCTCTGGCGTCAATTGTCTGCCTCGTTTGCATTAGCGCTGGAGAAGAGCAGAAGACTAAGGTAGAAAGAAGTAGGTCTTCTTCAGCATGTACATAGTTGTTGTGTACGTCTCTTTCTCATCCCACCACCACCAGCAGCACCACTTCCGGACATGGTCCAGTCTTCGTTTCTCGGTGACGACGGTCCGACGCGGTAGAATTTCTGGAGCTTCCCAGGTCCCAGATTGACTGCTGACTGCATGGAGGGCGCTCCACGAGACGCCCTTGTAGGCTTGTCCCATGTCTGCTGTTTCTGCTACCCTTTCCTGCGGGTGGTTGTCCCATCTTTGCCATCCTTGTAGCTCCGTGTCGACATGACCTCGCCTTACCTTAACCTGCCAGGTATCCCCATCAGACGAATAATGATTCCCAATTCATTCCACCGCAACCTCTCCTTCCGTTCTTCTGATGCGTATAAGTATCGTGGCAGCTGCTGGTCCTCTGTCTGCATTTGTCCCCCCTCCTTGCTCTCTCTTCTCTCCTTGTCAACATATCCTCTTCGACCCTCTGTCTAGTCGTTCCAACTTGCCCACCGTTGCAGAGTGGCTGATAGCTGCTGTCCGGACAAACCACAGACGTTGCGAACTCGGGCTCTCGTGAGAGTCAACGCTGGTTGCAACACGCTTTCGAGACTTTAACCAACAACTTTGGCCTCAGACTCATAGCCCAACATGTCTTTGCCGAGCGACTTCCTTTGGGGTTTTGCCACCGCTTCGTACGTATCTCACCTCAATATGCTGCATTGCGCTTTTCTTGTCGGTCCATCATCGTGCCTCAGTTGCTGTCACAATGCAGTTTTGCGCCTGCCTCCGGCCCGTGGCCCGATTCGGACAACTAGCAAGCATCCTCCCACCAACCACGCACCACCACCCTCCGCCCTCCACCCTCCGTCTTACCCGCCTGCAATTCCGCACACTTATTTCGCTCCGTCACCCCCCACTCACACCTTTCCCCTCCGTCCCTCCTTGTCGTCTAATAAGCGAGTCCAACAACATGTCATGCCGAACCCCTACTAACTCGTTTTGCCCGCCATCACAGATACCAGGTTGAGGGTGCTGTCGAGAAGGACGGCCGTGGTCCCTCCATCTGGGACACCTTCTGCAAAATCCCCGGCAAGATTGCCGACGGTAGCTCCGGAGTCACTGCCTGCGATTCCTACAACCGCACCGCCGAAGACATTGCTCTGCTCAAGTCTGTTGGTGCCAACACCTACCGCTTCTCCATCGGCTGGTCCAGAATCATTCCCCTTGGTGGCCGCAACGACCCCATCAACCAGGCCGGTATCGACCACTACGTCAAGTTTGTCGACGACCTTCTCGATGCTGGCATCACGCCCTTCATCACCCTGTTCCACTGGGATCTCCCCGATGGACTCGACAAGCGCTATGGCGGTCTTCTGAACAAGGAAGAGTTCCCCCTTGACTACGAGCACTACGCGCGTGTCATGTTTAAGGCCATCCCCAAGTGCAAGAACTGGATCACTTTCAACGAGCCTTGGTGTTCCTCCATCCTCGGCTACAGCAGCGGCTTCTTCGCCCCCGGCCACACCTCGGACCGCAACAAGTCCCCCGTCGGAGACTCCTCGCGCGAGCCCTGGATCGTTGGCCACAACTGCATTCTCGCCCATGCTCGTGCTGTCAAGGTCTACCGCGAGGAGATCAAGCCTACCCAAGGCGGCCAGATCGGTATCACCCTCAACGGCGACGCCACCTACCCCTGGGACCCCGAGGACCCGGCCGACGTTGAGGCTTCCGACCGCAAGATTGAGTTCGCCATCTCCTGGTTCGCCGACCCCATCTACTTCGGTAAGTACCCCGACTCCATGCGCAAGCAGCTCGGCGACCGCCTGCCCGAGTTTACTCCTGAGGAGGTCGAGCTGGTCAAGGGCTCCAACGACTTCTATGGCATGAACCACTACACCGCCAATTTCATCAAGCACAAGACCGGCGAGCCCCCCGCCAACGACTTCCTTGGCAACCTCGAGACCCTGTTCGAGTCCAAGAGCGGCGAGAACATTGGCCCGGAGACCCAGTCCTTCTGGCTGCGCCCGAACCCGCAGGGTTTCCGCAACCTCCTCACCTGGCTCTCCAAGCGCTACGGATACCCTCCCATCTACGTCACCGAGAACGGCACCTCGCTGAAGGGCGAGAACGACATGCCTCTCGAGCAGATTCTCGAGGACGACTTCCGCGTCAAGTACTTTGACGACTATGTCAGGGCTATGGCCGACGCCTACGAGAAGGACGGCGTCAACGTCAAGGGCTACATGGCCTGGTCCCTCATGGACAACTTTGAGTGGGCCGAGGGCTACGAGACCCGTTTCGGCGTCACCTATGTCGACTACGAGAACGACCAGAAGAGATACCCCAAGAAGAGCGCCAAGAGCCTCCAGCCTCTCTTTGAGAGCCTCATCAAGAAGGCCTGAGACATGCATGAGCCCGTAGATGAGAGCAACAGAGCAGAGACGAAGACAATCACGTAGATTGGAGTTGCATAGCAATCTTTTTGAAATGTAAAGAGGGCCTTCGTGCCGCTCACGATCGATGTATGAAGAAGCCTGTTCTGTCTCATGATGTAGCGTCTGTATTGGAGATACTCAAATGGAACATGAGTTATGTGAGCAAAGCTTGCTTCCTGTGACTTCACCGATGTGAATTTGCTCGCCGAGCTTTCTCACAATATCGGAATCTTCAAGCATCTTGTTGTTTAGGCTAGTAGGCGGACGCCGGTTAAACATGACCTTGGTCAGTCGATTCCAGTGTTACCTTGTATGTCATCTCTGTACAGCTTGTCTGGAATGATGGAGAATATGCGCTTATGGGATGATGCTGCGCTACAAAGGTTCCGCTACGCCACATCAAGAGAATTGCCGGCCCATAGATTGTGTTCTTCTGGTTCAATCTGTCACGACGAATGATTCACCCCTGGTTTTCTTTATGCGTAAAACCACGGTGGGCGGCGTGAATAGCATAGAAAGAGAATGGCACGTTTAACATTATGCGCTTATAGAATTACTGCAGTTTTGTAAAGTCATGATCTATGGCTTGGAGCTGCTTGAATCTTTGGTCTGACTGTGTTGCCATTATCCAACCGAGTGTCTCATTTGCAACTCTATCCCAAAACCCGTGCGCATGTATAATCGAGCAAGTTCTACGATATCGTCTTGACAGGCACCGCATTATTCCCGCCCTCTACTGCGCCAGGCTTCTTTTCACAGTCATGATCCAAAGCCCCATGAGACCCGTCTCCGTCGCCGGTTCCATCTTCCCTGACTTCCCCCGCCCCAGAATTACTACCCGCCTCTTCGTCCTCCGTAGTCAACGTCTCCGAGTCCGCCTTGGCGCCCCTCCTGAGGTACCACTTGAACACGTACACGAGGATCTGTGCCATGAAGACCTGCTCGATGGTGTACAGCAGCACGGGGATCTGAATCAGGGCGCGGGTGAGGTCGTCGGACTGGGTCCACATGGCGGTGGCGAGCGGGATGCCGAGCGACGTCGTCTTGGCGGCGCCGCAGAAGCAAACGGCGATGGTCTGCTCCCGGGGCAGCCGGCGGACGGTCACGGCGCGTCGGAGGAGCGAGGGCGAGCGGCGCATCATCAGCGCGGAGTCGGCGACGCGTGGGTTGACGGCGTCGCACAGGGGCAGCGGCGGGCGGGCGGCGTAGAAGCAGATGAGGGTGAAGAGCATGTAGAGCGCGACGTTCATGAAGACGTTGAAGATGATGGAGGCGTGCGGGGTCTGGTAGAGCGCGCCCGTCTTGAAGGCGGCGGAGAAGGTGGTCCAGACGAGCAGGATCAGGCAGAAGGTCGACACCTTGGCGAGGTAGAAGGTCCGCAGCGCCCAGTCGACCTGCTTCTCGAAGAACCAGCGCAGCGCCTGGCCGACAGCGAGGGGGAGCAGCACGCTCAGCCCCAGCTGCTGGAGGACGTTGGCGTACATGGCGCCGAGCGTGCTCGGGTTCGCGGGCTGCCAGACCCTGAACTCGTCCGTCTTGGGGATGAAGCCGTAGATGAGGCCCGGGGAGATGAAGGAGCCCAGGACGTTGCCGATGACGACCTCGATGATGGCCGCCGCGTCGTCGCCGCCCGAGGCGCGCGTCATGACCACGTTGGACGCGATGGTCGTCGGGAGACAGGAGGCGACAACCATGCCGACGATGATGGGCGTGGAGAGGACGCCATTGCGGAGGCCGCCTGCGGCGATTATGATGTGGATTATGACTTTTGTCACAGTGTAAGCTGGGCACGAGTCAAATGGAATGATAGGGGCTTCTTACTTAGCAGGATTACGGGAATGATGATGAAACTGATGCCTTGAACGATGATGTGCAGCCGCCAGTTGGTAACATTCTGTCTGAGCTTCGCGTGGGAGAGCTGGAGGCCGCTGACGAGGAAGATGATGGCGATGCCGCCGTAGATGATGGAGTATTCCGATTTGATGGGTCCACCGCGGGCCGCGACGTCTTTTTGGAGCGTCCGTCAGCTTTGCTTTACTCTTACTTTGAAAGCAACGGGGCCAGCCAACTTACTGGGGAAGAAGTATGCAAACACGCAGCTGAGCCCAAACCCAATCACTAGCCACTGCGCGAGGATGAGCTTGAAGATCTTGACGGCCTTGGCCCAGACGCGGCCCCCCACGGTCGACGGGGCCTCAGACGCCTTCTTGTCTTGGGCGGAGCCGGCCATGGTGGTACTAGAATACTATCCGGAGATAATTAGGAGCGACCGAAAAAGACATGATACGCCGGGGACGGGGCGTTAGAAAAACACGGCGATGTGGAGTCGACGCGAGACAGCCCCCCGAATTGAAAGCAATCGCGGTCGGCGGGAGGGTTGCACTTTTTCAACGACGTTTCAACGCAGCAGCAGCAGCAGCAGCAGCAGCAACGACAAAGACAATCATCAAAAGTAGATGGTGCAATTGGCACATTCACCGCAAACGACAAAATCTACCACCCCCGTGACCCGCCGGACATGTCTTCGTCCGCTGTGAGAATGGATGACGCCAACGCCCAGGCTCTGCGGCCCGGGTTATTGCCGGCCGGCCAGAATCCCGACATCGGGGTCGTCCGAAGCGAAGATGGAAGGTCGACGGGCGGTGTGGTGGGGGAACTTTTTTCAGCGAAAAGAAGGTGGTTGGTTGTTTGAGAAGAGCGTCAGCCAACATGGGATGGAGCCTCATCCGAATGCTTTGCTCATGCCGCCGTGTCAAAATGTGTGTTGGATTCCACATGCTTTCGGGATCGTCCGCCTCGGTGCCGTGCCGGCTTGGCCGAATATGGGGCCCCGCGGTCGGCGTGACACGTGGGGACCGAACTGCCTCGACGTAACGGTTCTTCGGCAACGCTCATGGCTGCTGAATCGTTTGTCCGCTCTGCCGAACTGAAACGGTCGTACAGGGCCAGGACTGTAAGTCCAACAGAGTTGACCGGACCAACATCACCAAAGCAGACCGAATATGGGAAGCAACTCTTGGGTTTCATGGTAAAGCAACACCATTCTCTTTATGTGAGCTTCTAATATCTAATATTTCAGCTAAATTTATCATTATCTTTATGACTTAATGCGGGCATGTTGACACCCTTTTCAGGGTCTCATCCTCTCAAGGCATTATTACCACAATCATTTTCCGTGAATCTCCAACCTATTTCGCTCGTCATTGTCTCGTCGTTCGTCCCAACCGCTCACTGTATCATATAGCCCGTCGCTGCATCAGAGTTTCGACGTCCTGTTTCCAACGCGCCCCAGATTTGCCTTTGATCCTGGGTATCTACCAATGCTGAAGAGAAAAAAGAAAAGAAATAAAAGTAAATCACGACTCAGTTGCTGCGTTAACCAAGTCGTCTCAAGCGTTCCTGGAACCTTGCTGCATTCTCTTCATCGCCTCCCTGTGCAAGTCAAACATCTCGCCAGTTTGCATGCTTCTCGTGAAGGCCTGCTCAGACCGCTCCTTCTCGATCCTCTCCTTCTCGCGACGCTTGGCCTCTGCCTCCTTTTGGCTCATCAGGAAGCTGCGCTGCAGGTCAATGTTTCTCTGCATGTCTGCCTCCCGAGCAGCAGCTTGAGCGGCCAGGTTCGCAGAGCTTGAGACGCGGAACATCATGGACGTATCACGCCCGTGTGCGCCCACTTTTGCAACCGCCGATGCGTTGCGTAGGTCGGCCTGCACCGAGTCGCGGAAAGACGCCAGCCTGGCCTCGCGAGCCTCCCTGGACGGCGCGTTGGACACCCTGCTGGGCTGGTGCGAGTCAAATTGAAGCTTTTCAGTGGACGTCGTCGGCAGGTACGGGTTGGTCAATGATCTCCTGTTGTCTGACATGGAAGTTCGAATGGTTCCCATGCTGCTCTGGCGGCGGATCATTTCCTTGCGCTGGCTCAAAGGCAGATCGTCAAGGGACGATTCTGCCATCTGCTGCGGATACCCGGGGTAGTCGTAAGCAGAGTAGACCTCACTAGGCGGGCGTTGCGCCGCAGCGGAAAAGTCCGGCGTTGAGTTGGCACCGGTCAAGATCCCATAAGTCTTGTTTCGGATGGCCATGCTTCGCTGAGCGAGAAGGCTCTGCGGGCTCGAATAGGACACGATGCCTGGCGGGGGCGGGGGCGGCACGAAGCCGCTGGGTGAGATTGGAGAGGCTGCCATTGGCATGCGCTCGGAGCCGCTGACACTGGGAGACCTGGATGGAAGGTGGCTTTCCTCCGCGATAGTTTGCACTGTTGGCACCTGGTTCTTGCTCGAAACCCTGCGGTGGTGTTTGCGAATCATGGGCGAAGGAGGCGTGTTTGCGTTGTCAATTCCTGACCCCCAGGAGTTGTTTCTCGAGTGAGTACGAGGTGCAGTGAAGGTAGATGTGGGCCTCGGGTGTGCCTGGCCAGGAAGAGGTGCCGGTGAAGGGGTGGGAACTGGAGCGGGCGTGGCAGTCAAAGCTGTTTGCTTCAGTTCCTCCACGTTCAGAGGCGCCGGTGTCTCTTCGCGTTGCGGCGCATCCTGAGTGTACTCAACCACCGGCAACGTCTCGGGGGCAGGTGCTTCGGCATGGCTCAGGTGTTTCGCCCACTCATTCGTCCGGTAGTGCAGAGCCACGTTGGAAAGTGCAGGTGGCAGGCGATCCGGGGTCAAGCTCACCGGTGTCGAGTGTACGGAGGCAGTCGATTTGGCTTTTTGCGAGGGGGTAGCAGGTTCAACGGCCTGCTTCATCGGGTTGCCTTCCGTGATCGAGTCGCCGCTGTCAGCTTGCTTGGTCGGCTCACCCTCGGACTCTTCGACAGTGTTGTCTGCGGCAGGGTTCTCAACGGTAGGCTTCTCCTCGATGTTGTCGACCGCGTTGTCGGCAGTATCGGCATTCGTGTCGCCCTTGTCCTTCTCATCATCGGTCGAATCGGCGAGGGCAGCTGAGGCCTTCTCGGTTGAGTCCTGGCTAAGCTTCTGGTTGACATCAGCGGTCTGGGGGCGCGATTCTTGGAGAGTGCTGGCGCCGCTGTCATTTTCTGAGTCGATCGTTGCTGCGATGGAGCTGTCCGTCTCCTTGCGATGGTGCTTGAGAACGGCGACTTCATCCTCGTTAGGGCCAGTCTCAGGGCGTGACCCCGTCGTGCGTTGGGAAACCTTCCGCATCAGGCTGACCGATCCTTTGGAAAGACGCTTCGTGAGTGAGCTTCGCTTGCTGACAACACCCGCCTGGTCTTCATCGTCATCGGCAAACGTTGCTACGGTTGACGCCCTTCTTCCACGCGTGTTCTCGTCAGGAACAGGGAATCTGAAAGGCAGAGGCACGACTTCCGGAACAGGAGGAACGTCGGCTTCACGGGTGCTTTCGTCATTGATCTCCGTGGTGAGTACCATGGCTTCCTTCTCGTCGATCAGCCGTCTCGGGGTAGTAGGGGCATTGTAGGCCTCGTCAGGAGCGACTCGTACTGTCACCATGCTGTCTTCTTTGTCCAAGGACATAAGACCCTGGGGTGTCGGCTTCGGAGGAACAGGAGGGGCAGCGTCACACCCCTGCATTTCGGCCACCATCAGAGGCTCAGGTCCAGGAACCGAAGCGCTATGGTTGTAGCGAGGCTCCTTCTCACTTTCGCTGTCGCGAGCGAAGCCGGAATCGTGGTCACCATGCACTCTCTCCCATGCGCGTCGTTCACGGGCATTCTCAGCCTCGATTTGCTTTCCAATGTTCAGTTCCTCCTCGTCGCGAGCTCGTTGTTCCTCGGCCAATTCCTCTTGCCTCTTGGTGCGGCGGTCCTTGATGACGTTCCACAACCTCTTTTGGGAGATAATGCCGACGCAGAAAATGACGATGATGGCGGCAAGCTCGACGCGAATGCCCTTGGTCAAAGGATAGGTAGTTGCGCCGACCGGGAAGAGGTTGTCATTCAAGTGCCAGATATAGGCCCAGAATTCCTTCAGCCCGGCTCGGCTGAAACAATCGATACCTATGACAGTCGATGTGGCGCCGGTGAAGGAGATGCTGACGATCAATGCCCAGTCGCGGGTCCATCGGGTGAAGTATGCTGCGAAGACTGCCAATGTGAACACGACAATGAAGACAACTTTGGCCACACCAGAAAGCAAACCGCCTTCTTGCAGACACAACAGCCACATGCTGAAGCAGAAGCCACCGAGCCCGCAAGCAAAACACTCCGTAATCTCATTGAACCACAAGGAAGCGAAGACACCAACCAAGATGCCTGGGAGCACCGCAGCGACGACAAAGCCTCCTTGGGCGCCATTGCTGACAGGCAGTGGGGCGAGATACACAACCAGGACTGTGATACCCAGTCCAACAGCATATGCGACGGAAAGGGTGTTGTGCATCATGGGTTGCCTGAGACCGACGAGGGTGTAGCCAACGCCGACACACAATAGGATCACGCCAGCAACGGCCCATCCGGGGGTCACTTTTGGCTCAAGGGGAAGCTGGCCCTCCGGGATGGTAGCTGGTAAAGCGTCAGCGACATGTGTCGGGCGATTCAGATATGTTGTTGGCCATGCACTTACAGTTCAAGAGTGTCGAGTTGTCGAAGGTGACTCCATCAGTGGCGGTTGGCAGTGCAGAAGAAATGGATGAAGTGCTCGACGCGAGGATGGATCCTGTGACGGAGGCTGCGGTTGACCTGGCGGGCGACGTTGATGAGGCTGTGGCCGCAACATCTCGAGTTCCGGTCCGTGTAGTAGAGGTGACGGCCGTTGCTGAGCTGTCCTGTCTTCTTACAGGCACGACATGACCAACAGCAAGTTGAAGACAAAGAAAGAGAAAGAAACACACGACCAATCGGTTCCACCTCGCCATGGTTGAATATTAGGGATCTGGTCTCGTCGAGGTTTGCTGTACCGGTGGCGTAAATCACGAATAATATTAATGAGTGACTGTGAGATACGCTTCGGGCATTACTGAGCTCGACAGAGGGAGGGACGCCGGCGAGGAGGGAGCAAGCAGGCAGCAAGCTCCAGGAGAAGAGAAGGCCGGGAAGACCGTATTATTAGTCGAACAGGACGTCACGCTGGCTGGGTATCCTGACCCCAGATACCAGTGGGGTTATGAATGAGACAAGGAAGCTCTCGGAGAGCTGAGGCTGACAAAAGGGGAGGGCAGAAGAGGAGAAGCAAAAAGGGCGAAGACAAGGACAGGGAATAGCCCAGCTGTCGTGGGGTGGAGTAGCAACCCGGAGGTGATCAAACTATATAGGACAAGGAGGAGGGCGTAAAGCCGGAGGGGAAGATCCATGTGGATGGAAGTGGATTTCGTGAGTTGCACCGAACGAGGAACCAGCGGAGCTCACGCAGTGCTTAGTCCATCATAGATGCGTAATAATGAGGCAGGGCGCGAGTCTCTGGATTGCAGAGGAGGAGTCCGAATCGTACGTGTGTGGACGTGTGTGCGGCGTGACCCTGTTCATGAGTCGAGAGCGCATCTGGACTACCAGACGACCAGACGCAGGCGAGGGGATCAGAGTTGCTGCATCCGAAATCCCCAGCCATGCAAACGCAGGCAACAGACGGCAAGGTGAGGAGGAGGAGCAGCGAGGTCGGACGGAGCTCAGAGCTGGGTTGCATGCTCGGTGCGGCCTTCTGACAAGGAGCATCCGGCTAGCCAGGATGCAGATGAGCCATGGCGGGCAGGATTGGGGAGGCAAAGGACGCGCGGGTGCAGGAGATGAGGACCACGGCCATGGTCAGGCTGGGGGGAAAAGAAGAAAGCTGGAAGGTGGAGCCAACCACGAGGATGAAGTGTACTTGGCGTCGTCGAATACAGCCGAGCTGACTGCGGCTTTCGGCCAGAGGAAGGCCAAGGGTCTAGAGAAGCATCAGCTACACGTCGCAGCGATGTACGTATTGGCTCTTCGTTGGCCGATGGGAGGGACTCTGTTGGCAGCAGCAATCCCGGGCCAGAGTATGCATGTCGTGCCAAGGATGTGATTGACAAACGAGCCGACGTGCAGTTGAAGGCAAGTTCTGGTCTCGGCGTATCTGCTGAGGCACGAGGATGCGAGCATGTACGACTGGAATAAGAGATGTAACCTGCGAGCGGCTGGCGGTAACTCGACGTCGGAAGTTGAGGCGCATCCATCCCAAAATTACAGGGACAGGGGGTAACCCCGGCATATCACACGGTTAGCGTTGACTTGGATGGGAGCAAGACAATCAGGAACGGGACTAGGATCAGGAACAAGAACAGGAACAGGGGGGCGAAAAGGAGGAGAGGAAGGGGAAGAAAAAGAAAAAAAAAAAAAAAAAAAAAAGGCTGATGATGGAGGGGCAGAGGAAAGGAGGGGTCCGTGGGGTGTGAGTGAGTGTCGAGGGCGGATTGGACGCAAGGCCAAGTGGGCGACGGCATTGGGAGTGGACTGATGGCTTCGGATGAGAATGAGATGGGAGATGGGATGGACGTTGGGCGGTTTGAGATTTGGAGGGGCGTGGGATACCGGACGATGGTGAGGTGAGCCCATTCCCGCCTGCCCTGGCTCTGTGAAGCTGAGCCAACCAACAATTATCGAGTTGGTAACACGCAAGAAAGGCTCAGTGAAGCCGTGTGCCGTGTGCCGTCCCGTCCTTTCCTGGTTGGTCGCTACGGTTGCCCCCCAGAAATGCCCGAGGCGGGCGCGCGTTCACGGCCTTGCTGCTGCTGCTCTGCTTTAGCTCAGTCTGCGGCCAGCGTGCAGCTCACGGCAACAACTCAGCAATGGGTACTGTGCGGTCTGCCATTAGCAGGTTAGGCAGAGACTCGAGAGATGGAAGAATCGGGACATTCGCTCAATAATTGATCCCCAATCCAGCATGAACTCGTATCCCAATCCGGACGCGTCGGCCCGCCTGTGCGCCGCGACCTCAGGTGCATTGTGAGGGCTTCCTTTTTTCCCACCCTTCCTGGCGGCGCCGAGCCCATAGTTTGGCCGAGGCAGGGTCTTTCTGGCCGTCTTGCTGCAAGGATGCCAAAGTCGAGTCGACGTCTGATGGACGACAGCTGATATTGCAAACTGAATCAGGCCGACCGCGAGATCGGTGGCGTCCACGATGCAGCTGCCCGTACGGGAAGGGAAGGGAAGGGAAGGGAAGCGAACCCTTACCGCACGTCGACATGCTGCAAATTGCGACCTGCCTGCAGACTGCAGCTGAGCATGCAGCTGGATATGCAGCATCTCCGTGGTCGTCGCGGTGGGCTGTCCAGAAGCTGCAAAATATTCTCAAGGGAGCGTGACTGGAGATGGCAAGTTCGCGATGCGTAAAATAAGAGAGTTGCACCAGCGCGGCGGGACGAGGACCGTCTGCTTCACCGGCGCCGTCCCGTCGTTGGTCACCCACGGGGCACAAACGCAGGTGCCAACCACGCTAACCCCACTCGGGACCGTTTTTTGCATAGGGCTAGCTTCTTGAGGACTAACAACGGTAGGCTCCTGCTTCTGCCCGGCATCTCCAAGAACTTACAACCTACATAGGAAAACTACCTAACGATGCACTCTGCAGGTACAGCAACTGCGAACGAACTCACTTGGGCATGGTCAACTCCACTGCAACATCACCGCCTTCGCTCTCCACCGCCGCCTACGACAGACTTTGCTAGCCAGCTTCCAACTCTCATCTTCCTAGCTTCAACGTTCGCCGTGAACCTCCGAACACCATCGTCAGCATCAATAGATCTGAATCTCGACCCATGATCCCCACTCCACCCATCTCCACCTCGGGTGTATCGTGATAGGACGTCTGCTCGCCGGTCTCTGTCCCGCCGATCGAGATTTCAGATAATCCCTCGCTGATTCCTACCAAGGCACAATGCCAGCCCTTACCGTCCGATCATCCAGGTCTGGTGTCTGTGTTTCGCCATCGAGAAATTCCAGAATCTCGACCTGGGAACTCAAAGCGCCGTCGGGGTTGTGTGCTTGTCTGTGCCCGTCTTACAAACAGTCCGATCACTAGTCATCGCCGACGCCGCAGACGCATCTCGAGCTATGCGACATGCCAGCCTATACAAAAAAGAAAAATCAGAGGCGCCCACTTTAGCCTGTGGGCAAAACTCTCCCCCACTCTTTGCTTCGGTGGGTGAAGCTCGGCAAGGGCGAGATTCACGTCACAACGGCTCTCAAAGTCTTGACAGCCCCCTGGCCTTGTCTGATCGGCTCCGGGCCATTGGAACGCCGCTGCGGTCAAGGGTCCAATCTTCTTCCTCTCGCTGGTCTTGATTCTTTGCTTCTTGTTTTTGTCGGGTTTGCAGTAGCATAATAATCACCTTCAACACACTTTGTTTTGGCGCTTTGTTCCGTGTTCCGAAGGCTTGCGTCTGGAAACAATACTAGCTTCTGGGGTACATGGGATGCTGCCGAACGATTCCTTCTGCCAGAAACGTTTGCACCGCGAGGCATGCATTTCCATTGGAAAAACAACGACTTGTTGGTCTGAAACAGGGTTCAAGCTGCGTTGTCGTCCCCACGAGGCGTTCTTGCTCAGGCTCTCAGGAGATTGAGGGTCCACCCATTCCTTCGAGCCCTTCAATCTCGCAAGGGAAGGATTCTTTCGTCGTTCTCCAAGTTTTTTTTCTCCCTTGCCAGCATTATACCGAGTGTTGACGGCGGCATGCCGGCTACAACCAACAGAGTGGGCGGGCGACTGAGGGGAGCCTAATCGACCATGGTCGCTGGAAGGACCATGTACAACAGCAGACGTTGGATATGATCCACCCGCTCCGCGCCTCATCGCATAAAGGGGTTCCCGCATCCTGGTCGCTTTGATACAAGCAATGCCTCGCTGCATGAGCCTCCCCCATACTCACGATCCTGGCGAATAATTGTTGACTCTCTTTAGACTTCTCGGTCATCAAAAAGAATTAAAGAGGCAAAGAAGAAAACTCTGTCAGCCGGCTGGACGGTTGAATCGGGCAACTGATCTGAGCCGACCTTCTAGGAAAAGAAAAAAAAGAAGACTAATTTCGGCGCCGCAACACCGGACTCATCTACCGCTCTTGTCCGACGCAAACGACTGACTAGTTGGTCCCACTACCGAAAGCCGTGTCTGCGGACTCCCGTAAGCCGGTGGCTTGCTTGCCTTCATTTTTTTCAGCCTCTTGGCCAGAAGATTCATATCGTACCGCCGTAAACCCCATGCACTGTGAATCATGCTGCTCGTCGAATGCAACCCCTCCCTCCCCTAATCGACTGAACTACTTTGCCCTGATCGGTTCGTCCGACCTTGAGGAGAGGAGGGGCATGGTTATGCCGCCTGCTCGTGTCGGGCTGTCCCCTGTGACGTTGATGACCACTGTCTATGCCAATCCCGGCCTTCGACTTCATAGCCACGGGGAACAATCCTTGACTTGCTCGAGACTGCGATGTATGTACGCGGCACTTTGTTAACACAACGACAACGACGATGACTGCGAGTCAAAGACACTGGTCAACTAGGGCCTGCCGTTCGTTCCAGCCGAGATGTTGCCATCGGCCCAGTACCATGAATCAATCAATCAACCCTGGTGGTGTAAGTCCGTTCAACGCCCCAGAGCCAGATTTTCAAGAAAGCAATTCACGGAGCGATGGCCATCAGACTTCAAAAAAAAGAAGGATCTCCCCCAGGATTCGTCAACGTCCTTGGAGTTTTGGCTCTTCCGAAACCGCCGGCTCCATCTTACCCCATCCAATAACCCTCGGGGGGTTGTGCGTCCGAACGGGCCTCGCCTACGGATACATAGCTGACGCTCTCTTCCTGATCGCCGTCCAGGACACAATCGTCCACCCCCATTTGCTCCCCCCTTCGGCGCCGGAGCTGTCCTCCCGCCTCCCCTTCGCTTCAAAGAAAAAAAGAACC